TGTCACAAATGTACAGCCTTTTCATCTCTATTTGCATTTGTCCTCTTTCTTCCAGGTGTTGTCACAGAGTTTGTGGTCAACACGTGTAATGCAGGCTCAGGCACTCTGTCTGTCAACATCGACGGGCCGTCTAAGGTCAAAATGGACTGTCGCGAGTGTCCCGAGGGCTACAAGATCACCTACATACCCATGGCACCTGGCAACTATCTCATCACCATCAAATACGGCGGGCCACAGCACATAGTGGGCAGCCCTTTCAAAGCTAAAATCACAGGTCTGCTAGACAGTCATTCTCCCATCTGATCTGTGGATCTCAAATCACAAGTGTCTTGTTTATGAAACAAATGTTCCTGTCAGGAAATTGTTATGTCATCTGTGTTCAAACTGTTCAGTGTTCATCTTACATAAAAGCTGACTTTCACTGGCACTGCAGCAATATATTCCTGTCACTACTTGGTACATACTCATGACTTTTTTTTTTTTTTTTTTTTAATGTAACATAAAAACATTTTTAAGATTAAAAAGAACTTCCATGAGTCCTTGAAGTTCAGTTTATTTGAAAGTGGTATGAAATAGTTTCTGATTTGAGCTCAGGCATCAGCCCCCTTCCTTTTACTTTATGTAGAGGGGAAAACCTCTCAGGAGCATCATCTTTGCTCATGCCTTTATCAGTATTGAGTGTGTAACATAATGTCTGGACTTCGCCTCAGTGACAATAGGTAACCTTTTTCTCTTTATGTCTCTCCCTGTCCTACAGGTGCCCGACTGTCAGGAGGACACAGCCTCCACGAGACTTCCTCTGTCTTGGTCGAAACAGTTACTAAGACCTCCAAAGTGGGCGGGGCCTACAGCTCCTCTTCATCCACCACCTCAACCGCACTGACATCTGATGCCAGCAAGGTGGTATGTCGTGGAACTGGGCTGTCCAAGGCTGTGGTGGGACAGAAAAATAACTTTACAGTTGACTGCAGCAAAGCAGGTGAGATAATCATCCACAGATCATATTTTCATACACACAGGCTTTCAAGACTAAAGCTATATTAATTGACTTATTTGGCCCCAAGTTGTTACATATAGTGGGCCCCGAACAAAATTAGCATTCATTAGCCATCTCCAGTATTTACTGTCCTCTATTATTTCTCTTTGGTCTCCACCTACTCTTTAACTGGGAACTGGTTCTTTAGTGGCTAAATGCCACACTATGTTCATAAACTAAGCTAAGATAAGCATTTGGTATTAGGCAGTTAGCAAGCAGTTTATCAGAGCCTTTTTACTAAAAATGCGTCTGCTAATGCTGAGAACAACTTTAATGAGAGAGAGCAAACCAAACCTGTAGGTCATAAAACCAAAACAAAGAGCTGAAAGACACAAAAAGGCTGAGGTAGAGCTGAGATGAATTAAATTGTCCTCTTACTGTTCGGTTTAGGTACCAACATGCTGATGGTGGGTGTGCACGGACCCCATACTCCCTGTGAGGAGGTGTACGTCAAGCACATGGGCAACAAGCTCTATAACGTCACCTACACTGTCAAAGACAAGGGCAGCTACACTGTCATCGTCAAATGGGGTGACGACAACATCCCCGGGAGCCCCTACAAAGTGATTGTACCCTAAAAAGAACTGCATCAGTGCTCCATCCCTCCTCCTCCACTGACCCACCAGCCTTGTCTTGTCATCAGCACACATCAATCAAACCCCCCAGTAGTACTTTTTCTGGCACTGCTCTTTGCTCTTCTGCAGATTGCAACATACACTAAAACCTGCAAGGATATTTGCTTACAGCTTTCTTGATGACAGAGTCTCTGATGTGCCAAAGGTTTGTATTAACTCCAGAAATGACATCTACAATTATGCATCCACATTCATAGTGATGCAAAAGCAACAGTGAGTCCTTGAGTAATGTTGGCTACATGTTTTGATTGGTTGATACAGTTTCTGCCCTCTGTCCACTTATAATATATGAATGTTGACAGATGTTGGAGTAATCAACAGGATTAAAGTCTGATACTGTAGGGTTTTGTATTGTTTAAGAATGAGAACTTCACTTTTGTTATGTTAACCTGTTTTTGGTAAGTCTTTGCAGACCTAATAAAGATTTAATTGCTAAGTTTCCAAATGAACATTACTGAAATTTATTTGACTCCTCACAGTACTGGCAGACCCTTTGCTAGTTTAGCAGAATCCATCTCTTCCCTTTTAGATTCTCATAGTTTTATCATGCAGCTATTTTCTGACCACTGCTGGCTCTACCTTTGGAGCAGCTGTAAAGATATTTTCTCTTGATCCCAGAGGCTCTTGCTGAGTATCTGACCGATATCTATTTCCCCTGGTATCAATTCAAGATCAGTATTTAGTGCCACATCATTAAAATAGCTCAAGATATTCTTCCAGTCCCCTCATTTACATCCTGTCCTTGTACAGATGCAATCACAAGATGGCAGCATAGTCAAGCTCACCTCTATGTTTATGTCTCAACCAAATACAGAGGAACAATATCCATTGTTCCCAGCAAAGATTAACTACACTAACCACAACACACGGGTGCCTGTGGAGCATAGAAACCGGAGGCATCAGCTTCCATTGTGTGAGTAATTAATCCTGTTGGGTCAGAGATGGAACGCAAGTGGTTTCTGTTGTGGCATTCACATGGGTGGGTGGGAGCAGACCCTGCTGAGGTGCAAATCAACCAGAAAGAGGATCGGTTCAGCCTTTTGCCCCTGTATGTTGGTATGTTGTTTGTGTGTGTGTGTGTGTGTGTGTGTGTGTGTGTGTGTGTATATAATCGCTGGTGTCTCCTCCATGGCCTGTGTGTGCATGTTCTGTATGTCCTCTGAGTGGTCTGCAGGCCTCGGTCCCACAGTGACTCAACCATTCAGCCTCCACATGCTGACACACACCACCAACACCAGTATCATTCCTCACAGAAAGGAGCCTATAATTAGGTGCTAATTTTCTCTGGTTCCTCTGTGATGTGATGCTGGGGGGCACGGCGGGGCCAGACAGAACGAGCGGGTGCATTTGATGAACAGTAGCGGGAGCTCGACTTTGTGCCATCTGGCCGAGTGGCTGGCACTGCCTGTGGCCACCCGTTCAGACGCTGGGACCAGGGCAGGGCCCACCCACGTCAGTCTGTACTCCCCATCCTGCTACTTCGGACCCGGGCGTCTGTCCATCACATGTTTATCTCAAGTGGCTGCCAAGTGAATCACAACTGTGTAGAAGATACAGCTCCTTGCTATACATGGACGGGTGGGTGATGGGGGTGAGAAGAAAGTGTGGGAGGAAGAGAGGGAGAATGGTGGATTAAAGGAAGAGAATGGGATTAAAAGAATCCAGATGGAAGAAAAGCGAGACAGAAAAGCACTGGCATACAGACACACAAAAACAGAAAAAGACAAGCAAAAGTATTTCAGACAACCTAACAACACACACTGCATATAAATTGATCTCTGCTCTAAATTCTTTTGGAACATGCTCGTGCAGTGTCTAACTTCACCTTCAGAGCAATTATAACTGTTGGACTTGGTTAAAATGAGAGGTGAGCTATTAATTCTGTTCTAAAGGGGATCAATGAGGGGGTGTGGTTGCCACGGAGATGCTTCTGTCTCTTAAATCTCCCCTCCCTATCCTCTCCTTGGCTCTCTCTCTCTCTCTCTTTCTCCCCCTCTCTCTCTCTCACACACACACACACACACACACACTTTCTCTCAGAAATCTGGATTATGTTAAGAGTGAAACTGTGTAAAGGCATGCCCCCAGAAGCTTTTGAAGTTGGTGCTCTCAGGGTAAAATTCTCATTCTCTGGCCTGCCCCTATCATGCTGACTCATGCTCTCTTCTCTCTCTCTCTCTACTTTGATTCAGCCTCTCCATCAGTTTAATTTTTCCTCCCTCTCTCTAAATTCCAATCAATCTAAGCCTCTGCAGATCTGGTGTTTTTTTTTTCTCTTCTCACTTCTTCTGTCAAGCTTTGTTCCTGGGCCTGCCTCTTCTACCTTTGACCTTTATTTATCAGTTCAGCCAGTCACTTCAACTCGAATGGAAATTCCTGTAGAATGGGTCGCAAGTCAGTGAAGAAGACAGGAAAGGAAAACTTCCATGGCTGAGTGAACAGACAAACAAATAGCTAAACAGATGTTTGCACAAACAAATGGCCACACGGCTGGATTAATGAATGGACAGAGTGTGGAGAGAAGGATTATTGTACTGCAGTAATTCATGCATTTGACTTCTAAGTGAGCCCCAAGGCCTTAGTATGCATGTTATTGCTTCATGCATAGTTGATACACTACACAGTCAAGCAAATACACTATATTTTCTTTATGTTTATTTAGAAGGCTGCACTTGCATTTAGAAGTTTAGATTCCACCGGAGGCGTTTTCTAATAGAAAAACTCATTCATATCTGAGTGTTCATCTTTCTCCTTTAGAACAGACTGATACACATGGGGCCAGTGTAAAGTATGCTGTCCTGTGGTTGAATCAAGACCATGTTGTGTTTTATTCATATAGAACAAAGATGAAATATTCATACCAGAGTACTGCTGCTGTGCTTTCTTCTGTGTCTCTTACCTCTAATGTACACAAATCCTGATTAAAAATCAGACACACTATGGCTTCAAATTGGCTCCCTTCGAGTAGGAATATGAAAACAATGCAAATTGATGGAAGGAGTTCTCACCGGGCATCTGCAAATTGTGTTCATGCAGCATGGAAGTGTGTGAGCATCAGCCATTACACTGGTCCAAACTACCTCAGCCCAGTACATGCAAGCAGAACAGGTTGTACAATATGGAGGGATGGATTTCTGTTGAGGCAGCGTCAGATGAAAGATGCATAGCAAAAACCACCGCAAGATAACATTTTCACCAAGGCGCCAAACAGCAAGCGCACATAAGCCAGTCCTCACTTTTTCTCCCACAGCCTTATAGACAAACACAAACTTGACCGGCCATTCATACTTAGAGGCTCACACACACAAGCAGCACCACACACACAGGAACAGCAAGATGCCAAATGATTTGGCTTCATGAGGTGAATGAACAGCAACAGCCCGAGGCAGGATAAATGAAGGGAAGGGAAGCTTTCCTTTTGTGTGAGAAAGGTGTGCTCACACTTCTTTTGTGGCGCAGCAGGGACATGTCAGGGGCAAAGTCCCCATGTCTCCATCTCTAATTGGAGCATATCCTTGTACCCTGTCCCAGTCACATTACGGTGAAGGCAGGACGCTGTGCTAATGGATAGACCCCCCTACGGAGTGCTTGTCCTTGATGTGCTGGGTTGACGGTGGCCCACACTGATGGTAGACTGCAGATTAAAGGCAAATCAAAAGATTTGTTTGTCCTTTCGTTGCGGGGCTGCACCTTCAAGGAGAGAGACCGACCATTGGTGTGATGGAATGGGTTGGACCGGTGAGATAGAAGTATGTTAGTGTGACTGATGTGTTCTGGGTGAGCAGGTTGTGCTGGGTCACTGACACATGGGGAACAAATATAACCCCTTCCAAGAACTGCCTGGCAGTACCAATGCTGTTTGTTTCATTGTCCAAAAGGTAAACAGCTAAGCTAAAGATAGCTTTTTGTGATAACACCTCTGGTGTAGATTTGGGATTGGCTAACGATGTTGTAATTACCTGTGCTAAATTGGAACTGTGGATGCTCAATGAGCTATAAACAAGGTTACTCTGGTCCCCTTGGGGTAATTGTTTCAAAAAATCTGCAACAGCCGGGTCCAGTGATGGCAAAATTGGAAGGGGTGATATCCTGTAATTTCTCAGATCACTGAAGCATGTCGTGTGTGTGGGCTGAAACTCTGATTTGAAATGGAAGCACAAGTTTCTGTTCCCTCGTACTGTAAGAGTTGAAGTCATGTCATTGGTCTCAATCAGCTTTTAACCTAAAGATGGTAGTGGTCTGTGGATCATTGGGCACCTCCTGCTCTACTTTTTACATTTCAGTGGGTGTGCCAGTTTCTATAATAGAATATTTCTTCAGTCATGGCCACGGTACGTCTATGAAAACCATGTTGTACTCAAATATGTGCACAGGTGGTTAAATCTATGTTCCGCCAGGCAGAAATAGCTCGGTTGAACAGAAATACATCCTATTTGATGCTGCTTGCAGATGGCCCGTCTGTTACTATTAGCATAATGGAATTCAGAGCACACTCACAGAAATTCACTAATTCATCACAGCATCAAGCCAAGCTAAATAATACTGTGACCCTTGAGCATTGAAAGGGCAATGTATTTCCAAATATTAGGGCAGACTGAGTGTTTTTCAGCCTTAACAACTGCTGGACTTAAATGCTGAATCTTAATACAAGCAGGTAGGGCATTGCATGGTGAGAGGCTGTGTGCATTCTGCAGGCTTGACTATAGGCAAGCTGCAAACGGATGGGTTTTATCCCTCTGATCTTGCTAGCTTACTCCTCAGCCCATATCACACTTTGTAACTGAAATTCACAGCCGCAGCCTTGCTGCTGTGATCTCACTCTGATTTCCAATCTTTCCCTGCATTTTGTCCTTTGTGTCTGACTGACTAGCACAGCTCAGTTTAATGCATGCACCTCAAGGAGAGCCGCAGCTAGTTTTATCAGTCTGATTATAACACAGTTCCACCATTTTGAATGTACTAACCAAACATGGGGCTGTCAGTAAGACTGAAAGATGAGAGTAATATCAATAAATGTGCCACAGCAAACTCATGCAAGGAATGTCATTTGTGACTGTATAAGATACACAAATGGACACACATGTACAAACATGCACACACAGACACACACACACACACACACACACACACACACATATGTTGTTTCATCAGGACTGTCTCATGTGTTGCGGGTGCTCTGTCTTCCTGATGTGCTCCCAGCCATAATTAACAATGTGTTGCCTACATCATTTAAAATCTAGATGCCTATTTATTAACATGCATATTACTTTATCATGTAGGTGTAGGCAACATTAGTGTTTTGCCCATTAGGGTCCTGATGAAGCTAATGAAGCATGTGGGCTTTGGTGTGTGGGGGGTGCTGCAGGCTGATCATGACAACGTCAGGAATGTCATTAACATACACATAGCAGACTTGTCATTTCTGAAGAAGAGAAAGATAA